GGGTTTCCGTGGAAAGTCGATGTCTCAGGATGGTCAACATGCTGATCCAGAGGCTTTTCCCCCCTGGCAGGACACACTGACTTATTGTCATTGGGAGCCATACAAATAGAAAATCTTTAATCTTGGTTAAAGTTTTGACATCACTGAGGGGCTTTCAGTCGCCACAGACTTGTATGTGGGACCTCGTACAAATAAAGCGCAAGAAGTCCAGTGTGTGGTCACACAACTCTTAAAGTGCTAAAATGAGACTATTAACACTGTTCCTCTGTTAGAAAACCACTTAACCTGCCCTAACCTGTGATGGATTACAGCCAAAGACGTTGTATAAGCCAATCAGACGAAAGGAAGAATTATCTGATATCTGATTTACACACGACATCTATTGCACGTCTGTCCGTCCTGGGAGAGGGATCCCTCCTCTGTTGCTCTCCCTGAGGTTTCTCCCATGTTCCCTTTAAACTGTGGGTTTTCCCTGGAAGTTTTTCCTTGTACGATGTGAGGGTCTAAGGACAGAGGGTGTCGTATTGTCATACTGATATTCTGTACAAACTGTAAAGTCCACTGAGACAAATGTAACATTTGTGATATTGGGCTATATAAATAAACATTGATTGATTGATTGATTGATTGATTGTGCTGTGATGTGTGCGTTGGTGTGTGTTGGAGGAGGGGCTCTGTAAGGAAGTGGCAGATTTTTACCGGTTGTGTATTTTCAAATTCTGGTTTCTCCAAAATTACCTACCCCACCTTTAGGGTTAATAAACCCCTCGACTACTTCGACTTCCAGCTGGCACATTATATATTTTTTGGTTTATTCCATACAGTAACATATCAGGAAAGGCAATGGTGTAAGAATGACAATGACAAATGAGTAATTGACAAATACAGATCACAGCCTTTAGCCTGTAGTTAGATCTATGTTTTATTTCAAACTATCTTAATAGGAAATTGATATATTTCTTCACTTACAGCGATTACAGAGAAGATTTACATTCAATTAATATCTCAATCTAAAACTAAATCTGGACTCTGTTTTCCCCTTCATGTCCAGTGATAGCAGCCTTTCTGTCTCTCCATGAAAAACTCAAATTTTCCTGAACTCTCCACAACCCTCACTGTTACAATCAGCACGCTGTCGCACACACTGATGATGGCATGGTTACGAGGTAGAGAATGGAAACATTGATTGACTTCCCTTTCCTAGAAAATCAAAAGGTCATGAAGGCTTCCTGAGGATCTGTTCACAAGCTGTGATATCTGTCACTAATCTCTGCTGCTCTGTGCAACAACCCTTCACAACAGTGGATTCAACCTGCGGGATCCACAGTGGGGGGTCTCCACATTTTGACGAGGAGCTCCTGAGGCTTTCTTGATTAAAGGTGGAGTAGGACAAATGTTTTGAATACAATGTATAGCTAAAACAATGAATGTATGATTGTTAATACACAAAGTACAGTATTGTATTCACTATTTGGGTTGATTTTGCCATTCATCAGTTGTTCAGTTGTCTTTTCCTCTTGAACTGTTGCAGGTCTCAATGATAGAAAGTGTTTCCTTATAGGGACAGTAAGTAGGATTTGGGGAAATTTAGCGTAGCGTTAGCAGTTAGCAACAAGCTAAATACAGCTCCTCTTCCCCTACATTTACAAGGCCCTATCAATGGCCAGGGTAAGGGTTGTCTGTTCTGACATACTTCAGAAATATGATGGTGGACCAAGTGGAAGAAGAGCTGTGCCCAATGAAAATATGAAGGGCTCATTCTAACGATTCTTATGACATACATTATATTCCATTTGTGTTTTTAAATCTTCTTTATATACTAGAAACTGGCCCTTTAAGGAAAAAGTCTGGGAACCACAGATCAAAACTTTTTTTGTGGTTTTAGGTATATATTTTGTTACTTTGCTAAAGTGAATAATTGAAGATTTATATGTATTTTCTTGCTGTAGAGGCTTTCCCTTATGTCTCAGTTTTATTTGTCTGTCTCACACACACACACACACACACACACACACACACACACACACACACACACACACACACACACATTCTTTGCTTACAGTATGAGCCTGTCTGTGGGAGTTCTCCTCAGTACAGTATGCAGTCTGTGGGTTTTATCAGAGGTGTCCCACCTGGAGGGAGTCTGGGAGCAAAAACACAGCTTCAGACAGATTTAGAGCTCTTTCTGCTCCACAGGAATGAATGAGCAGTGTTTGAGTTGCTCCGAGTTTGAATAGTGCTCCTTTTGGGAGTGAGCCTCCCATTGGTAAGTGGCTCCTGGAGTGTGAGGATGCATAATGATGCTGTTGGGTGAAAGTCTTGCATCTGCAAAAGTCAACACACGGAATTGACCTAAAAAATACCAGGATGGAGACTGTTTTTTGTGTATTCTTTCAATGATATTCAATCAAAAGTTGGTGTTAAATATTCTGCGGCTCTCAGCAAAGACCCTTTCCCAGAAACAATAACGTACTCTTTGTAGAATAGCAGCTTTTAATGGAGTGAGACAAAAAACAAAAGCCCTATTGGGGCATATTTTTGGAAAATAAAACACAGTTGGATTCTAGTAGGTTCTTGGCCTTTGGCTCATTAATCTCCCCGCAAGCTATTTTTTTCATAACTTGTGTTTCCTGTGTTTTTAGCACCTAATTTATTGCTGGGAAAATAGGGCACTTAAGAAATGAGTGCCATATAAATGTGTCAGTTTAAGACTCGTAATGTAAACACTATATATTTTAGCTCCAGGGATAAACTGTATATGTATACACAGATTCTCTAGATGAATCATCTGTGTGTCTTTTCAAAATAAAGGTAACTCATATAAACATATTATTTTTACACATGGTTAACATTGAATATGTTCTTGTACAAAACATGTATGACGTCACAATTTGATAATATTTCATGCGGTTACAATATAACACTCGTAGGCTTTGTCAAACAAAACCCATGGCTCAGACTGTATCCCCTACCTTAATTTGACATTGCAAATATCCAAAACCCAATGGAAAAATCGAATTGTCTTTTTCTTGAGGGAACCAGGGCAATGGCTTTTTGGGGTTAGCTTACACAAATATGTTATCCCTGTATTGTATAAGATTATGATAACGAAATGGTCTCCTTGCCTTTTATTCATATCAATGTAATCTTATGAAATCACTTTACTTGTAAATGTGTGTTAACTTGATGATATAAACCTTAAACTGTCCATTGACCATTTACCCTGTAACTTCCCTAATTTCTGGTAGCAAAAAGAAAGGTTTACATAATATTTTTTCTAACCAGGCCAATTTCATAAAATCATAAATGTACTGTTACAAACAAAACTTTTACCTTATAAGCCCATATCGTGTCAACTTCCTTCACTGCTAGTCAGAGCAATCATTTCATAAAGCCCGAAAATACGCAGTAATATAATTAGACACATTATTTACCTTTGCTGCAAAGCATCCTTTCTATTGGTTCAGTTCAGCTTGACTTTATTTCATTGCTTTGCTGATTGCGAAATAGGCAAAAGACGGAATGGATCCATAACATCTGCAGTTCGTTATATCTATAAACCAATGTGAAAAAGTATGAAGGAAATGTATGGCTTCAAGCTGTTTGGAATACCAGATATTATGATTAATGACATGTCCACAGTTTTATTATATGGTAAAATATGAAAGAATCTACAAGAAAGCCAAGTTGAGAGTGGATCAAGACATCTTCAACTTATTTTTGGAACTGATAATCATTTGATTTAATAATTTAACTGCTAAAGTCTGCTAAAGTGCTGTTGTCATCAAACATATGCTTGCTTTAGATATAACATATACAGCTGTTTTTACCTTAATTTGATACTTCTAATGTCCTACATGGACAGTTCTTAAGCCTTAAGGACTGTCCATGTAAGGCTTAAGGAGACCAAATACAACGTCAATTACCGGCAGAGCCAGCCCGTAGCTCTGGCGACATAGGCGGTCGCCTAGGGTGCCAGATCTGGGGGGGGTGCTGCGCTGGTAGTTCTGGGAGGGAATTTCTTTTTTTTTTTACTGTTTGGCTCATCCTAATTTTCAGCCTTGATGTAACAACATTCATAATTAAGTCAAGGTAACACCCTTTTCACCCCGGTTACACTTTTCATTTGCCCTGTACGATGGGCGCTGTAAGTGATGAAAGTGGGGGATGTTGACTTATCAGGCGCCCGCAGCTCACAGCCAAAGTGTATGGAAAGCCAAAAGTGCCTTAATACGCGCGTATATTCGCGCGACTATACGGACCTGAGCCCCTCCTGATTTCCATAGCCAATAAGTTCAACGTTTTTTCAACCAATAAGTGAAGGGTAAAGACATACCAAAGCAATCTGTAGATGAAAAGTTCCTGACCTTGTGAGGCTGTGCTGTAAATTGTACATTATTCCAGATTCAGGGGACTAAGTATTAATTAGCCGTTGAATATAATAAATATATCAATCAATATATCAATATAACCTGCCTTCATTGTCTTTTAAAATAAAATCGCCTTACCCTTTTCCTTAACCCCCTGGAGTGTGACGTGAAGGGTATTTTCTCAATTTTTAGATGTCTCCTTAAATCACCTTTTAAATGTATTTCTTATAACATGGCATGGTGTTACATATCACAGTATCTGGTATTGCTAAAAATGCAAAGTCACTCACCTTAGAGCACTGTCTTATGAGATACTTAGCTTAGAAATCCGATTTTTGGAAAACTTCAAAACTCTTGTGAAACAAATATTTACTCATGTCATCCATTTTTTTTGGTGTTTCAGATTTGGTCTTTGGTTTACAAAAGTAGTGAAATATATGAATTACACTATAGGCCTATATAAATGTGTTATTCATGTCTAAAATGAAAATGTGTCAATTATAATTTGGAGTAACATTGTTCTATCACTCTACTTTCCCCACAGAAAAGTTACATCAGGACTGAATAATGACTTAATATTCCATACCAAGGTTCATGTGATGTGTACAAATACAAATTGAGCATTACAACTTTTTTTTTCAACCAACTATTTATGTTAACATAAGAAACTGTAAAATCTCAATATTTCCAATATCAGAACTTTTTCAACCAACTATTCATTATAAATGTAAAGACAGGGGGAGCAGTGTCCTGGTCTTTGTCTGTCTTCCAAGACAGTGGGTCTGTGTTTTGCCATCACTGTCGTTATGAGTACAGATATGCAGACAGATAACTCCTCGACAAGTGGCAAGCGTTTATCTTCTTTAATAAGATGTTTACATCCACAAGTCAACAGAGTAAAACTGAAAGAAACACAATATACATTGAAATTAGACACTTAGCTGTGATGCAGAAATATATATATAACGGTTAATTACGTCACAAACATCACAAAATATGCATATAAAATGTTTACATGCAAAAGTGCTGTGTAATACACACTACAAAACATGTGCTAACCATACATCAAACATCAATGAATAGCAATCTACTTAAACATTGAAACCTCAAAATAATCGTTGATATCCTCTTAAGAATATGTAAAAAAGCCAAACATACTTACAAGCAATGCTTTCAACAACATAGCAACGAAGGATGGATGCAGATTCAAACAATGATATTCTCCTCTCTGTCCCTTTCAACCACGACTCACATGTGGGTATCACTTCCTATGTTTTTAATGTAAGTATTTCCCATTGGCTGGTACTAACAAAAGAAGAAACAAAAAGCAACAGCACCACCTGCTGGCTGGAGTAAGACAGTGTCTTAGACAGCACACTCCCCGCTTGACATCTATGAGATGTCACAATTACATTTTCTTTTGATTGTTCTTATCATTAGTGTTTGGAAGGAGGAGGATAGTGTCCATTATGGGCCTCAAGAAAACCTTGCATGTTCCTCCAGAGGCAACCGTGACTTCTATCTTCCTGACCTTTCCGTCATGGCTGGGGAAGGTTTTGACCACCATGCCCATTGGCCATTGATTCCGATGAACCTGACTATCCTTCAGCAGCACAAGGTCACCTTCTTGCAGGTTAGGTCTCTCCCATTGCCATTTCCTGCGGCCTTGTAGGGTAGAGAGGTATTGGTTTTTCCAACGATGCCAGAAAGCGTTTGCGAGATGTTGCACCTGCTTCCACTGGCGTTTGTAGAGGTCACTGTCTTTGAAGTCACCAGGAGGTATTTATGGAATGCCAACCTTCTGGGTTAGGAGGGTAGCTGGTGTTAAGATGATAAGAAAGCTTGGGTCGGTGGACACTGGGATGAGAGGTCTTGTGTTCACAATGGCTGTCACCTCTGGTTGCGGCGCAAGCTTAGCCTTGCCGAACAGAAATCCAAGTTCACTTTTGGCTTCTGCATCTGTTACTTTAATATAGGCTACAGCTGCTATGGCTTGTTTAGAGGCGTCGCAGAAAATGCAAAGCCCCCTGCTCAGGGGGATGGCAGTGTATGTCCTTGGAATGCGGACGTGTTCCAGATCTTTGATATAGTCTTTCCACTCACACCAGTCTTTAAGCTTCTTTTCAGGAAGGGGTTCGTCCCACTCGCAGGCCTCCGTTGTAAGCTCTCTTAGCTGGGCTCTACCTTTAATGCTGACTGGAGCTGCAAAACCAAGCGGGTCGTAGAGGCTATTTATGGTCGATAACACCCCTCTGCGAGTGTAAGGTTTCTCTGCCCTGGACACCTGGAAGGTGAACTCGTTAGTGGTAACGTCCCAGCTTATTCCTAGACTTCGTAACATGGGTGGAAAGTCTGCTCCAAGATCGAGGTCTTTTAAGCCTTTTGCAAGATCATCTTTTGGAAAGGCTTTCATCACTTCGATGCTGTTAGAAGCTATCTTGTGCAGCTTTAAATTGGATGCAGCTAGCGTTTCTTGGGCCGCCTTGAGAGCTGCAACGGGCTCATTTCCTGATGGAAATGAGATGAGACCATCGTCAACATAGAAGTGACGCTCAACTAGGTGTTTCGATTGAAAGTAATTTCCTTCTTGGTCTTTGGATGCCTTTCTGAGCGCGTAGTTTGCCACGGCAGGTGATGGACTGTTCCCGAAGACGTGCACTCTCATGCGGTACTCCACTATGGGTTGCTCCAAGTCGTTGTTCCGGTGCCAAAGGAAGCGTAAGAAGTTCCTGTGATCTTCTCGTACCAAGAAGCAATAGAACATCTGCTTGATGTCAGTAGTTACTGCCACTTGCTCTTCACGGAACTGCATAAGGACACCCAGCAGGCTGTTGTTGAGATTGGGGCCTGTGAGAAGGACATCATTTAAAGACACTCCATGGTGTTGAGCGCTCGAGTCAAAGACCACCCTGATTTGTTCTGGCTTATGAGGGTGATAAACCCCAAAGAAGGGAAGATACCAGCATTCCTCATGTTCTTTGAGTGGGGGTGCCGGTTCTGCATGACCGCTGACAAATATATTTTCCATAAAGTCCACAAAGTGTTGTCTTGTTTCAGGTCGCTTCTTCCGCGTGCGACGAACTGAGGAGAGGCGTTGACTTGCTTGCTGTTTGTTGTTGGGAAGACGTGGTCTTGGAGAGCGGAAGGGCAACGGAGCCACCAAGCTGCTTGAGTCGTCTTGGTAGACTTCCTTCTCCATTATCTGCAGGAAGGTTCTTTCTTCTATGGAGTAGGCAGGTTTCTCATCTGCGCTAGTAGACTGAAAGACTGTATCTCCCATGGTGTCTGCCTTAGAGTCCATCCTGTCGCGGTCTTGGCAATCAAAACTTTCATTTACCTGCATGCTGTTTTGACATGGAAGGAAGTAGCTTGGTCTTCCATTTTCCAAGATGTTTGTCTTGAGAACATTTACATGTCCGGGGTTGTGAGCCCTGCCAAGACAGACATCACCAACAATAACCCACCCAAGAGCTAACTTCTGTGCGAATGGAGCATTTAGGGGCCCGTTGCGCTGCTCGAGCACCTTGTGGGTCTGAATAACATCTCTTCCAAGTAGCAACAGAATATCAGCCTTGGGATCGAGTGCTGGGATCTCTATAGCAACGGCCTTGAGATGTGGATGATAGTGAGCGGCTTCAGGAGTTGGTATTTAATTTCGATTGTCAGGAAGCATGTCACATTCGATAAGCGTGCTGTGTCGAGGTACAGCAATCCTGGTATGTGTCCTTTGCTCTAAGCAGAGTCAATCTCTAACAGTAGGTCACCAAGGTCCCGCAGCAGATGAGGCTCCTTGTTGGTAATTCTGGGGAACAGTTCTAGCCTATCAAACATAGCCTTTTCTAAGGCCTCAGGAGATCCATAACACTCTAGAAGTCTCTCCCACACTTTGTTCAGACCGAGGGAAGGGTAGTTAATATGCACTGCTCTGAGGCGTTTTGCATGTTGTGAGGATTTGTCGCCTAACCACTTAGTCAACAAGTCAAGCTCTTCACTAGCTGTTAGATGTAGACCTTGGATGGCTTTTTCAAATGAGGATTTCCATGCCCAGTAGTCACTTGGCTTGTCGCTAAACCTTGTAAGACCTCCAGTGAGCAACTCACGTCTAGCTAGAAATCTGGGAAGGTCAGAAATACTTGAGGTTTCTTGTGGGTGAATCAGAGGACTTGACCATTGTGGTTGTTCATGCACTGCAAAGCTCTTACGGCCCGTCCACACAGCGGCGTGCGTTGAAGCTTACAACGCTTCTGCCCATTCACTTTGAATGGGGTGACGTCACTTTTAGCCGAACTGCATTTTGGGAAGCGACGTAGAGCGTTGCTCGCTTCAAAAGTTGAGCAATGTTCAACTTTTGGCGCCTCGGCAGAAGCGTCAGCCAATGAAATCCCGTTTATGCAAATCTGCCAGTACAAGCGCTAGCCAATCAAACCGCATGTATGCTGGGAGAGACTACGCAGGTCATTTCCTCATATTCCAAAAAATGGAGGGGAAATTCATTATAGCGGTAGTGAATCACCCGGTGCTGTATGATCAGTCTCTGTTCATCTACCGGGATACAAACTGGAGGAGGGAGGTGGCAGAGACAGTGGGTGAAACTGGTAGGTTTTGGGGATTTTATATCCAGTTTACTTCGTTTTAACATTGCTATTGCTTTGTATGTCGGGGGCGGGAGATTCATGTGATTGGTTGTTGGTCACGTTGCTCGCAAAAAATCCCCAAGCTTCAGACACGCCCACCGCCAAGCGTCAACGCACGCTGCTGTGTGGACGCTCCGTTAGGTAGCTGAGATGCTCTGTCGTTTGCGTTGTTCTTGCAAGGCAGCAACGTATATGGAGATCTCGGGTCAAGCATTTCAACTTCCTGCTTGAGTTGGTTGAATGTGGAGTCCGCTGGAGCCTCGTTAGGCTTCAGGGCTGCATGTGGAGTTGATTTCTCATTTTGGAGAAATTGGTCATTCACATACTCGCTTGTGCGTTCTAATGGGTGAAATGTCTGTGGGAAGCGAACGCTTATGCGGTCTTTTTCTATTTCGCTTGCCGCAGCCTCGTACACATTAGCTTCAGCGAGAGCTGTCTCTGCATCTCGTTCCTGATTAAGCGCTTCCAATGTAGCCTCCAGACGTGTTTCTTCCACGTGCTTGTTTTACTCTCAATTCAATTTCCTTTTGAGCATAGGCCGCTCTGGCTCGTGCTGCCTCCGCTCTAGCCCGTGCATTGACCGCAGCCAAGCTGGCAGATGACTTACTGGAGCCCTTTGATGATTTTGATGCGTGAGTGTGGACTGATTCATTATGTCCTGGCTGAGACATGTTTAGTTTCGTAGGGAAGACTGACGTGTGTATCCACCTGATATTTTGATGATGTAGACGAATCTGCTTTTTTACTGTTCTGCCCTCACTGTCGTTATGAGTACAGATAACTCCTCGACAAGTGGCAAGCGTTTATCTTCTTTAATAAGATGTTTACATCCATAAGTCAACAGAGTAAAACTGAAAGAAACACAATATACATTGAAATTAGACACTTAGCTGTGATGCAGAAATATAACGGTTAATTACGTCACAAACATCACAAAATATGCATATAAAATGTTTACATGCAAAAGTGCTGTGTAATACACACTACAAAACATGTGCTAACCATACATCAAACATCAATGAATAGCAATCTACTTAAACATTGAGACCTCAAAATAATCGTTGATATCCTCTTAAGAATATGTAAAAAAGCCAAACATACTTACAAGCAATGCTTTCAACAACATAGCAAAGAAGAATGGATGCAGATTCAAACAATGATATTCTCCTCTCTGTCCCTTTCAACCACGACTCACATGTGGGTATCACTTCCTATGTTTTTAATGTAAGTCTTTCCCATTGGCTGGTAGGCTACTAACAAAAGAAGAAACAAAAAGCAACAGTACCACCTGCTGGCTGGAGTAAGACAGCGTCTTAGACAGTACAGTCTGGCTTCTGTGTAGGTGGGGGTAATGGTGCGTGGGCTGCTGGTGGCTGTGTCGGAGGGAGGTAGGTGGGATTGTCCCAGATTGATGCTGGTGGCTGTGTGGGAGGTACGTGTGCTAGGCAAGACTTCTTTGCTGGCTGGGTTGATCGTGATGGCTGTGGTGGATGCCTTTGTACCAAGGTGTATCTTAATCTTGTGGTAGGCACAGATGGAGGTGGAGGCCGCTGTAGTGATGCTGGTCCTCTGGTCCTTGGTGGTGATGGCTCTGGTGGAGGTCTTTGAGCCACGGTAGATCTTGACCTGGGGGCCGGCACAGATGAAGGTTCTGGCTGCTGGATAAATGCCGTCTGTGGGCCACTAGGCCCAGGCAGCTGTGAAATCGGAAAAAAACATACCTTTACATTTAGCAAATCAAAATAACTGTATGACGTATTTGTCTAATAAAAAAATGGAAATAAATCCACATGACTTTTTATGTATATTTATGTATATTTGTATAGTATTTTATGTATATTATATTATGTACATATTATGACATTATGACTTTTTTAAAGCCTTCTTCATTTACAGTATATAATACAGTGTTACGCCCGGCCTAGGGGAACCTAGGCGCAGCATAAAGTTTGCTCTCTCCCCACTTTTCCCACTCTCAAGAAAAAGGCAGAGACAGAGAATGTCGTTTGGTAAATTTAATTTACCAATTCTGAATTACACAAAAATATACTTTGACAACCAAAAAGAAAATATGCAGAAAGTATGATACAAAAATAAACAAATCAGGAGTAACAAAACCACAAAACGAACTAACCTTAAACACAACATCTTACCTAACAGAGACAAATAAATATCCAGGCTTCTTACCTACAAACGAACAATCCAAAAGGGAAAAAGAAAAAGGGTTTGCACTAGTGATGTTACGTATTGCGCCGAGGCTTCGGAGCGTGTGTCGAGTAATCCCCGAAGCTTTTTGTGAAGCATGTGTCGAGGCTTGTATCGTTTTGGGCCAGTGACGTCATCGATGACAAACGAAGCCTCGCTGCCTGTCGATACCACGTGACTGCTTCAGGAAGCGATTCTGATCGGTTGAACCGTTGAACCACAACGCTCATAATACCCATGGATGTATAATAAGAACGATATTACCCCTCCTGTACCCGGGCCCGCTGGTGACACGATGGAATTAAAAGAGCTCAAAACCTCACCTATATAGAGGTCGGAACATGTCATAAGTATAAATAGATACAAGCATAAATAAATGTAGTAAAAAAAACATGAATGAATAAATACAGGAATACATATGTTACAGTATTTTCAGGGAGATTCAGCGTGTGTGCTGTGGCTCAGCTGGAAAGCAGTTGACTCACGACCGCAGGGTCCCTGGTTCAATGACTCGTCAATACGTCTTTTTTGTTGTTTATAAAAGCTACAGCTAAATGAGATAATGTAGTTAATAAATGTATTCTTTGATATGGTTTAGCCTTTCTCAGGCTACAACATGGTTACGTTTATGAATATTAGTAAGGAATACAAATCCCTCTTTGCAATGTTTACCAGCCTCCTTAGGCTTTTCAATCACAATCATTCAACTGGAATAAAAACAATATTGTTAACATGAAAATATGATTTAATGTTCGTTGTTTAGAGGTATTCTAAGGCTTTACTCATTGGGAACTCGGTATGAGATAGAGCACACTGTTGAGATGTCCAATCTGCCTGTTTTACACACTTTGACCAGCAGGGGGGTTTGTGTTCAAATGAAGCCCATGATGAAGCCTCATGAGATGAACCCTTTTGCGAACCAATTGGCTGGAAAGCTTCAAAGCTTCATAAGGCTTCATCTCGCCATCACTAGTTTGCATTCCTGAGAAAATAAATCCGTCTACAAAGACAGGTAACGTAAAAATAGCTCACAGCCAGCGGAAAAGGACAACATTTTCTCAAAGTGCGAACATAGCACCACAGGACAAAAGATCTAATCATGCGCCGCGTTGGGAGTAGGAGAAGTTGAGTCAGAGAGACCGAGAAACTGCACGGCTGCAGCTTAAATGCTCCCGTCTCCTCAGGTGGACCAATCAGCCTGTCGAGGGCAGCCAATCAGCAACCGGACACCACCTGTTCAATCACACGCAGCCACACAAACACAGAAGGAGGAAGAAAATCTGTACACAATACACATAACGACCCAGGGTCGTAACAACAGTGATAACACACACAACCCGATTGACTGTACTCACTTTAACCTGGTTCTGTTATACACTGATAGGCACAATATTAGACATATGCGATATACATATGGCTATATGACAGATACTATTATACATAATGGCTGCTATATATGAAATAATCATCATCATTCATTGTTTTGTGATATTATGTCCCTCTTGTTTTTTATAAATATATATATTTATATATGTGTCCTTAACAAGCACTATATTAGCACAGGCTATCGCTCCCTGTATAATGTAGGGCACAAACTACTATGTTACTAGGTGTATGACTCCCGTGCACTAGTTTGGCTTACATTTCAAGTGTATTCTGCTTGTATAAATATGTGAAATGCTGGTCTGAGTTCATAATTGTTCATATTATTGAAATGCTAATAGCGCTAATGCTATGCTAATATTGTGCCTATCAGTGTACAACAGAGCCAGGTTAAAGTGAGTACAGTCCACCGGGTTGTGTGTGTTATCACTGTATTATATACTGTAAATGAAGAAGGCTTTAATCCTTCATAAAAGTCATAATATGGCATGTGGATGTATTTCCATTTTTGATTAGAGACAAATACTTCATACAGTTATTTTGATTTTCTAAATGTAAAGGTATGTTTTTTTTTCGATTTCACAGCTGCCTGGGCCTAGTGGCCCACAGGCGGTGTTTATCCAGCAGCCAGAACCTTCATCTGTGCCAGCTCCCAGGTCAAGATCTACCGTGGCTCAAAGACCTCCACCACAGCCATCACCACCAAGGACCAGAGGACCAGCATCACTATAGCGGCCTCCACCTCCATCTGTGCCTGCCACAAGATTAAGATACACCTCGGTTTTAATGCTCAATTTGTATTTGTACACATCACATGAACCTTGGTAAGGAATATGAAGTCATTATTCAGTCCTGATGTAACTTTTCTGTGATAGAACAATTTTACTCCAAATTATAATTTACACATTTTCATTTTAGAAATGAACAACACATTTATATAGGCCTATAGTGTAATTCATATATTTCACTACTTTTGTAAACCAAAG